AATGTGTGCGAAGGAAAGTGTTGGCTCTACTGATTGATTTCAATGGACAGTTCGTGTTGCGATGTGATTTTTGGGTACCCTACTGCAAGAGATTATAGAATCATTATTATTATTATTTTTGGTTAGAATCAATGTTACTGAAGTAGGTGCTATTGAAGCTAATTTCCTAATGGGTAGATGCAGCATGTTTGGCAATGACCAGTTAACATTTGATAAATATACATGGGTTATGCCTTAGTGTTGCTCATCTGTCATGTTGACCATATTGCTGGAGATGTGATTTGCTTGTGCTGTCAGGCAACATTTGTTCATTACGGATGTTTGATGAAATCTTTGGATCATCCAGCAGTTTAGTTTTGATGGCCCTGTTTTCCCTAGTCCTGTCATTGTTCTCTATGGCCGGTAGAAGTTTGCGTTGTCATATGTACTCCATCAAAGTATATTTAGTAAGCCACCAGTAATCAGTGCTAGAACCTGCTGACTATTGTTTCAGGTTGTTAAAGACTACATATCACAGGAAACATGGTGCTGACCGTGTCTGTTTTAGTCATCATCCAAGTTCTATCTTATGCTCTTCACGATACAACCTAGAGTCTGCAGAGTCACTTTGTTATCTGTCATTGTATGACAACCGTTGCTTAAGATACTTCAAAGGGCATAAAGACAGGTTTGTTTTATTTTTCTTCTGATGCTGCTGCATTTCTTGTTTGTGGCAACACATTTTGAGGGGCAGATGCTGATAGGTGTTCCCTTTCATCTCAGGGTCGTTTCATTATGTATGTCACCTGTCAATGATAGCTTTATGTCAGGATCACTTGATCACAGTGTCAGAATATGGGATCTTCGCGTAAATGCTTGTCAGGTTGGCTACCAATCTTGGGCGGAACTTAGTTGATGAGCTCACTATAGCAACCAACTATGCTTAGTTTACATTTATGAGATGAAAGATGCCCTTTATCCTCTAAGCTCTTTCATGCTTTCTCGTTTATCATTCAGGGCATACTAAGGCTACGTGGTAGACCTTCTGTTGCATATGATCAGCAGGGACTTGTTTTTGCTGTAGCAATGGAAGGGGGTGCTATTAAGTTATTTGATTCCCGGTCGTATGACAAGGTATGTAGTGAACATAATACAGAACGACCATGTATTTGTGGAAGGGGTGTGAAATATTTATCTTGTGAATCAATCCAATTTCAGGGTCCATTTGACACTTTCTTGGTTGGTGGAGATACAGCTGAAGTTTCTGACATCAAATTTAGCAACGATGGCAAGTCTATGCTTTTGACAACAACTAACAACCATATATATGTTCTGGATGCATATGGAGGGGATAAGTTGAGTTATATTATCTTCCCCTTTTCTGTGCTTCAGATACCAATCCTTTTGGTGCACATTTCTGATCTTACATCCTTTTGCTGATATCCCAATGTAATTTGCAGAGGTGTGGCTTTAGTTTAGAGCCATCTCCCAATGTAACAAATGAAGCTGCTTTCACTCCAGATGGTCAATATGTAATTTCAGGTAATTGCATATTCTGGTTCATATGGAAAAGTGCCCTCTAGTTTCCCTGCACTTAAGGCCTAATAAGGTGCTTTTTTTTTAAGTATCTCACCTTCTGCTTTTTCTTTGCATCGCTTTTGTGGATAGATCTGACAAGTAACAAGAATTCACTATGTTATTGGCCTTCAGCTTCACTTTTGCCATTAACCAACCATGTATGTTTAGGAACCTATACTGCCTCAAGTGTTAACAACAACAACAAAGCCTTTAAGTCCTAAACAAGTTGGAGTAGGCTAGAGTTGAAATCCAACAGAAACCATCAAGGTTCAGGCACGTGAATAGCTGTTTTCCAAGCACTCCTATCTAAGGCTAAGTCTTTGGGTATATTCCATCCTTTCAAGTCTTCTTTTATTGCCTCTACCCAAGTCAACTTCGGTCTTCCTCTGCCTCTCTTCACGTTACTATCCTGGCTTAGGATTCCACTACACACCGGTGCCTCTGGAGGTCTCCGTTGGACATGTCCAAACCATCTCAACCGGTGTTGGACAAGCTTTTCTTCAATTGGTGCTACCCCTAATCTATCACGTATATCATCGTTTCGAACTCGATCCTTTCTTGTATGACCGCAAATCCAACGCAACATACGCATTTCCGCGACACTTATCTGTTGAACATGTCGTCTTTTCGTAGGCCAACATTATGCACCATACAACATAGCTGGTCTAATCGCCGTCCTATAAAACTTGCATTTTAGCTTTTGTGATACCCTTTTATCACATAGGACATCAGATGCTTGGCGCCACTTCATCCACCCTGCTTTGATTCTATGGCTAACATCTTCATCAATATCCCCGTCTCTCTGTAGCATTGATCCTAAATATCGAAAGGTATCCTTCCTAGGCACTACTTGACCTTCCAAACTAATATCTTCCTCCTCCCGAGTAGTAGTGCCGAAGTCACATCTCATATACTCAGTTTTAGTTTTACTGAGTCTAAAACCTTTGGACTCCAAAGTCTCCCGCCATAACTCCAGTAGTGCCTCAAGTGTTAACGTCAAGTCTCCCGCCATAACTCCAGTAGTGCCACAAGTGTTAACGTCCAATAAAAAAATGCAGTGATGATCATTGTATCTGATAGTATGTTGCACTTACATCGTTCTAGCACATCTTAGACTTTACGCATATGCTACTATGAATAAACCTTGGAAATTTGAATGTAGACGATGATTTTTCCCAAGAGAGCTACCTGATATGTTTGGTTTTGCAGGATCAGGTGATGGAACCCTGCATGCTTGGAACATCAATACAGTACAAGAGGTGCTTTTCTTTAATCATGCTTTTAACATGTGTAATGTGTTGTTAGGTTTCTGTGAGTCTTAGTGTCAGATTTCTTTTGCAGATTGCTTGTTGGAACAGTCACATTGGTCCTATTACAGCATTGAAGTGGGCCCCTCGTCGAGCAATGTTTGCAACTGCATCAACTGCCCTAACTTTCTGGATAACCAACCAATCGAATTAGAATTAGGTGCCTGGAAAAAGAAGGGATGAAATTTCATATATGTTAACTTACCAAATGTTTATATCCTGTTCTTTTGTCCAAAAGATAGATGTCATGTATGAAATCACTTACTTCATTACCATCTGTGGAAACAATGACATAGTTCCAGGCAGATACTTGTTGTAGCGCTCCCTTTATTATTTATATATATATGTACTACTAATACACTTGCCTGTTAAATTGCTGTAATGACATAGTTCCAGGAAGATACTTGTAGGGCTCCCTTTCTTATTTATATGTACTACTAATACACTTGCCTGTTAAATTGTTGTGTTCTTAACGCGCATAAAGTTGTCTCGGTGATTTACTCCAAACTCTACTTGGACTTCTGCTTCCAAAAACAGGCGCTTGTAACTTATTCTTTTTTGCCCTTGCTGGAACCACTAATATACTAATATATGGGCATGTTGGAGAATCATTTTGTTGCGTAAACAGTGCTTGTTGCTCAAGCTCCTGAAATTTAGGTTTTGGAATATTCTTCTATCATGTAGTGGCACTTTCCTTGCTGGCATTTTCCACAAAAGTCATAGAAGATGCTGGCATTTTCCTTGCTTTCTCGAGTATACTAAGCATCGTCCGGCCGTAAAATCCTTTGTTTCTATGATCGACGTAAAGTCCACTTTAGTTTCACCATTTCACATTATCCTACTAATTTCCTGGACAATAACAGAGATTTACCCTGAGCACGCTAGAAATTTACTTGAAAGCGACTAGGAGCCTAGGAGGGCGGTGGCCAAAAGAAGCAAAGAAGTAGATAAGATGCAAATAAAAACAACCAATTTACTGTCTGCAACATGCGGTCCACCAAACCGAAACAGCACCTTGCCTGAGTTGCCTGTCAATATTCAGAGCAGCAAGGTGCATCATACTACATTCGATCTTTCTTTCTTTTTGGAACTAGACGTTCCACATCATACTAGAGCAGCAAGGTGAGGAAGTCCGGTATCTGTCAAGCATGCAATGGACCTGAGCTCCTTATCGAAGAGCGCCCTACTTCTGCCTCTTGTAGATCTTGTGCAAGAAGGACTTCAGCACGTTCTGAACCGCGGTGTTTGGCTGGGCTTCAATGTCTGCAATCAGCTTCTTGTAGCTCTCATTCTCGTACTCCTGAAATACCGCCTGGAACAAAATGATAAACGAAATGTCAGACTTTAGTAAGGTTTGAGAATGTGCTTCAGTTTGTCATCCTATTTTCAGACAAAGAAGTAAGAAAAAGTGTGGCTGATTGCTACTTCGTCCAGTGAAACTTAAGTGTCACATTGCAAAGTGCTTCAGTATGTCATCCTATTTTCAGACAAAGTAAGAAAAAGTGTGGCTGATTGCTACTTCGTCCAATGAAACTCAAGTGTCACATTGCACACGTGTATAGTCTCCAAAGAATCAATATCATTTCAGTAACATATGGGGCATATGAACATATGGGGTGTTCAGTTTGGTTTGATAATAAGGTGGGCCTATCACCTTGCCATTCCTCAACTTTTTGTTTGGTTTGTTGAATGGGATGAGTTGACGCATCACCACCTCATTTCTCACAAACTAATAATTAGTATAAGCATGAGGGATGGACTCATGTTGAACCACCTCATCTAAGATGGGATGGTTCCTCAAACCAGAGGCCCCCATACTATATACAAAATGGGCGTCACATTGATCTTTAATCAAGAAGGGCGGGCCTGGTGCAAGCGGTAGAGTCTTACCACCTGTGACCGGAAGGTCCCGGGTTCGAGTCGCGGTCTCCTTGCATTGCACAGGTGAGGGTAAGGCTTGCCACAGACACCCTTCCCCAGACCCCGCACAGAGCGGGAGCTCTCTGCACTGGGTACGCCCTTTTTTTTATTGATCTTTAATCAGTATTAACTGCATTATGTTTATGGTGGGCTTACATGAGCAAGTGATTACAATCTACAGATAAATAGAAAGCTTCATCAAAGGTAGAGACAGACCTCAAGGTTAAGTTCTTTGTAGAGGTTCTTCACTTTTGCCACACAAGCTGGATCTTTCTTGCCATAATTTTCCTGCAGAGCCATCAATTGTATAAACCTTTAGACAACAAACTTTTAATCATTTGAAAGAGGTCTGGACATGACTTACAAATAGAATGCGCTTTTGGCTCTCATCAGCACGCTCAAGGGCTTGCACAACTAGCCATGAGCACTTGTAATCTTCAATGTCAGTTCCGATCTATATTAAAAATTAAAATCGATTAAATCACAATAGCTAAGAGAAAAAAAAAAGGATGCTAGTTCAAGTTACTGAAATAGATAAATGCACCAACCTTGCCAATAAATTCAGGATCACCATAACAATCCAGATAGTCATCCTGATAGAGAACAATCATATCAATACTAAGTAGACTAATGCTTGTGACAGAAAACAGTTCACATAGATGCACACAGCAAAATAGGTGTTACCTGGACTTGAAAGTATGTTCCCATTTCAACAAGGATGTTCTCTACATCACCATACTTGTCCAAATTCTCGCCAGAGAGAAGCAGGGCACATGCAACCTTTGATAAAGCAGCATATCAGTAACACATTCATGTGGTATTGATAATCTAGATGGGGGTCGCATGAAAATAGTATATGCAAAAGTAAAAAAAAAAAAAGTTAATTACCGGCAGATAAAATGAATAGTAGGCTGTCTTGTATTGAACAATACGACCATGACTGCAGAACGAGTTGCAGGAAATCATCAGTAAATAAAAGGCACATCCTGAATCAGAATTACCATAGATATGCTATTATGTAAAGAACATTTCTCTAAAGCTAAACATGACAATGTGAGAGGAACACTTTAGTTCACATGGTAAAACATAGGAGTACAAAAGAATGTTTTGCCAGTCATTATTACATATTAACTTACACTGTTATGTTGTACTTTGTCAGATCTTTTTCTCCCTCATGGGTTGTGATAAGGTCCAGCAGCTGACCTGAAGCTGTCTTGAACTCAACCTAGGAAAACAAAACAACATAATCAGGACCTGTAATAATCTGAAACCTTGAGCTGAACATTGATGTGCATCAGAACATATAGTTACCTCATTGAACAAGTCAAGGAGATCAGCATAGTAAGGCTTGCACTTAAAGTGGCAGCGAAGGATCCGTGAGATATGGTTGCGAAGGATAATCCCGTCATTCACAGCAATGAAGCCAACCTATCGCAAACAAAATATGCCCTTAGCTATTACTTAACAAAGAGAATTAGAAATTTCTCTGCACTGAAGTTACTACACAAAGGAAAAATAGACAAATGCTTCGGTATTCAGTTATGGCTAACCTGAGGCACCCTGAACCAGCAAGGCTGGCCACGACGAGTGTGGGAGTCATCCATGATATCATCAAGCACAAGAAAGAAAGCTTGAAGCTGAAATACAACAGCAAACTTAGATGAGCTACTCAATTGCTTGACTGACATTCTTCCTGACAACATTGGGGGACAAAAACAAAACATTACCCATTCAATGCACCAGCCAAGGGTGCAAGCCAGGAACAGTTCCTCCTCGTCCAGAGTATCAGCACCCTTCAACAGCTTGTAGCTGTCAACCACAGAGAGCCCACGGTTACACTTGCCTGTCATTGGACAACAGTTACGGATCAGAAGTGTTACTTGTTTTTCGTAAAATGTAAAAAGTAAGTAATTCAGAATCATCTCCTCACCTCCGAGTACATTGTAGTCAACCATCTGTTTGAAGAGGAAGATAGAGAAATGTTATATTAGCATCGCACATCAAAAGCACTAGCTAACAGAACAAACAGTATAAGCGGCCCGCTAAAACACCCAAGATCCATATATGCCATTAATAATTGCTACGGTGGTTTGGATTTAACTGCAGAGCCTAATAATCACAAGCTCTGCTCTGTTTTGGCAGCAATTCAATGTCCAAAAGCAGAGCCCGTCAACCCAACCCAACCCAACTGAACGGGAAGTTCCAGTACGTGTTGACCCGTTCCATCCAGCCCACGTAAAAACATACTCCTACTAAACAGCAGTAACAAGCTGTTCCAGAGGACTAATCCTCGCTCATTTATTTACCCATGATCCGGTGCTTTCTTCATTTATTCACCCATAATATGTCCATGTGCACGCGGTAAACAAAATTAATTTCGCTTCAATAAGAATCCGGTGCCGCACGAACTACAGAGAGCCCGCCGATCCGGGGTGGAACCTAAACGGAACATGAGGAGAACTCGCTGGGCCACGGCGACGGCGCACGGAGCCCCCACACGCCACAAGGATCAAACCAGGAAACAGCGACATAAAAGGAAGGACAACAGCGAGAGCGAGCGAGAGGGAGGGAGGGAGAGGGAGAGGGGTCGTTACGCGGTCGATCCACTGGTGCGACTCCTCAGTGGACTCGAAGGCGGGGTCGGTGAGCAGCTCCTCCTTGAGCGTCTTGTAGATCTGCGCGAAGGCCGCCCTGGTGTCCCCGCCGGCAGCGGCCGCGCCATTCCCGTCCGCCGCCATTGCCTCCTCTCGCCTCCTGGCGACGCAGACGGGTCCGAGGGCCGAGAGCGATCGAGGGAGCCAAGTGTGACTGGCGCCGCACTCGCGCTGCGCAGTGCCGGGGAAGGAGGGAGTCAACAGGGGTGGGGGACCACGCGGCCTTTTCAGGGACCGGATTGGCGACGGCAACGGGCAAAGCTGCAGCGGGCGGGTCGGCAGCGGCACGCACCGGCACGGCACGAGCACGGCAGCGACGCGTCTGCCCGGTTCAGAGTTGGGTTTGGACTTTGGACTGGGGCAAAAGAAACAAACGGAGGGCTGTTGGGTTCTTTAGTCGCTTATTTATGTCAGATCGAATATTTAGATATTAATAAAAAGTATTAAATATAGATTAATTATAAAACCAATTATATAGATAGAGGCTAGTTTGTGAGACGATTTTTAAGCCTAATTAATCTGTCATTAGTATATGTTACTGTAGCATCACATTGTCAAATCATAGACTAATTAGGTTTAAAAATTTCGTCTCACAAATTAGTCACAAGTTATGTAATTAGTTTCATAATTAGTCCATATTTAATACTTTATGTATATGTCTAAACATTCAAGGTAACACAGAGCTAACCAGACACCCCCCGAAGCTGACGGGGACGGAGGGAAACGCGACAGAGCACAAAACAGAGCCGTGCTGTGGATCCAGATCTGGTGCGCTGCGACCTGGGACCCCAGTTCAGGTTATCCGTTTCTTTATAGTTTCCGGCACGTTTGCTGCCGAATGGGTTGGTGAGCTGATCCGCTGATCTAGCGCCTGTTCTGAAATATGAATGGCAATAAGCTGCTGCGCTGGATCGTCACGTGATTAGATATCAAGGATCGGATCGATGCGATCATACGCCGTTGTGATGGAGCTTTACTTTTTGGATTTGATTTGATATTACATATATTTTTTTGAACTTTATTACACATACATTCTCATCATCCTATGTGGTGGCATCGTTGGTACAAAAGAGGTGCTGTTATTTTCTGACAACACCATTGGCTTTCGTCTTCTGTGGGTTTAGCACCCTTGTTTACATGTATTGGCTTTCGTCTTCTGGAGTAGATAGGTTGGATGCGTGAGGAAAACGTATGGAACTGTATTTGTTTGATTACTCAGCGCAATAAAAAAATATTGGTAGCACTTACATGAGTTTGTGTATCGTGTAGCGGTGGCTCAACATGCACATAGAAAGTCATGAGCAAGAGAGTTGGTTGGAATTGTATTTTATTATTCTCGGTGAGTCCACCTCCAATAATATAAAAGCAAGCCAAAAGTTGAAGCGGTTTTTGTTGTTGTATTGATAACCGATAACTTCGCTTGTTTTGTAACCTAACAAAAAACAGTGGCTCAAGACATACACAGAAAGTTGTGAGCAAGAGAGTTGGTTGGAATTGTATTTATTATTCTCGGTGAGTCCAACTCCATTGATACGAAAGCAAGCCGAAAGTTGAATCGTTTTTCTGTATTGAGCCGTAAGCAAGAGAGTTGGTTGGAATTATATTTTTTTATTGTCGGTGAGTCCAACTCCATTGATATGAAAGCAAGCCAAAAGTTAAAGTGTTTTTTACTGTATTGATAACCGACGACTTTGCTTGCTTTGCAACCTACCAAAAAACAGTGGCTCAATAAGCACACAGAAAGTCATGAGCAAGAGAGTGCGTTGGAATTATATTTTATTATTCTTGGTAAGTCTAACTCCATTGATACGAAACCAAGCATAAAGTTGAAGCGTTTTTTGTTGTATTGATAACCGATGACTTCACTTGCTTTGCAACCTACCAAAAAACAGTGGCTCAACACGCACACAGAAAGCTCAAAGCCGTGAGCAAGAGAGTTGGTTGGAATTGTATTTTATTATTATCGGTGAGTCCAACTCCATTGATACGAAAGCAAGTCAAAACTTAAAAGCGTTTTTTTGTATTGATAACCGGTGACTTCACTTGCTTTGTAACGTACCAAAAGATAAACATCGCAGATACCCTTATTCTCCTTTACATTGATGTGATATGGGTAATAGATAAACAAATCAAATTTATGAGCACTAGTGATATCGGTCAACACATGCTAAAGCAGTGCCTCAACATAAACACGGAAGCCATGAGTGAGAATGTTTGTTGATATTGTATTTTAGTTCTTGGTGAGTCATACTCCAGTGATATGAAAGCAAGCCGAAAGGTATAGAGTTTTTTGTTGTATCGATAACTTGTAACTTAACTTGCTCCACAACCTACCAAAAAGATAATCATAAATACCCTCATTCACATTTAGATGTTCGACGTGATCCATGCACACCTTTACATGTATCAATGATTCTTAGACAATCACCTTTAAAGTTTAGATACATCACAATTGGAATTAACGCGGCTACATATATGGATGATAGCACTTCTAACTATGAGGTTATAGAAGGCGGGTGCTATAGTTCTTGCTAGGTCATGCATAGAAGTGGTTGATTACAATATGGGAACAAGTATTTGAGCACCAAATGCAATAGATAAAAACATCGTTTTTGTAAGTGGCAATGACATAGGTCCACACACACCCCAAAAAAGTGAATCAACACGTAGACGGAAACCATAGTGAGAAAGTTAGTTGGAAGTGTATTCTATTTCTCAGTGAGTCCAACACTCCAGCTCTAGTGATATAAAAGCAAGCCGAAAACTTGGGCTTCGTTGTATTCATGTATTGATAACTATCGACTTAACTTGCTTTACAACCTACCAATAAGATAAACATCGCAGATACCCTTATTCATCTTTAGATGTTCGACGTCATCCATGCTCCTTCACCGCTACCTAATGATTTTTAGACAATCCACTATAAATTTTAGATTCATCGTTATTAGAATTGGTGCGTCTACACATATGGTGATAGCACTTATATTGTAAGCTTATAAAAGGCAGGTACTATAGTTCTTATTGGGGCACAAATAGAGTGATTCATTACAATAGGAGTATTAGTGTTAGAGCATCCGATGCAATAGATAAACAAATTATTTTTGTGAGTAGCAATAAGGTGGGCTGGCTCAACACCCACATGGAAGCTATGAGTGATAAAGTTGGATGGAATTGTGTATTTTAGTTCTTGATGAGTACAAGGGATATGACAGTGAGCCGAAAGCTAGAGCGTTTCCCTTGCATTGATAACCGACAGCTTAACTTGCTTTGCAGCCTACCAAAAAGATAAACACCACATATGCCTTTATTCTCCTTTAGATGTTCGACGTGATTTGCTCCTTCGCCTCTACCCAATAACGATCCTTAGACAAACCCCTTTAAGTTTTGGATTCATCACGATTGGATTTATGCGGCTACAAATCTAGGTGATAGCACTTTTGATTGCGAGACTATAGAAGATGGGTGCCATAGTTGTTGGGGCACTGATAGAAATAGTTGACTATAGTAGGGCCACAAGCATTCAAGCACTCGACTTAATAGATAAATAAATCGTTTTTGTGAGTAATAGTGGTTGAAATGCTCATGGAAGACGAGTAAAAAAGTTGGTTGGAATAATATTGTATTTTATTTCTCGATGAGTACTACTTGTGACATGAAAGCAAGCCAAAAGATGGAATGTTTTTTGTTGTATTGACAACCGACAACTTAGCCTGCTTCAGTACCAAAAAAGATAAACATCACAGATACCCTCGATCACATTTGGATGTTCGATGTGATGCACACTCCTTCACCTCTATCGAATGATTCTTAGACAATCCCATTAAAGGTTTAGTACATCACAATTGGAATTAGTGCGGCTACGCATACAGGTGATATATGAGTTTATAGAAGATCGTGTGTTATAGTTCTGACAAGGAAACGGGTAGAAGTGATTGGTTACAATGGGGAACAAGTATTGAAGCACCCAATGCAATACATAAACAAATCATTTTTGTTAGTGGCGATGATATGTGTCCACACACCGTGAAGCAGTGGCTCAACATGCTCACGGAAGCCAAAACAAATGTCATAGATACCTTCAAAAATCTAAGTAAATATTAAAAATCAAGCACACCATTTTGCTTGAAATGGTACCGTAGCTTTTGTAGTTTTGAAACTAAAATTCTTCTAACGTTATATTTTGAGGTTTCGGTTAACCTAATTTTTCTTATATTGATCCAAAATGAAGGATCTATGGACCTCCCAGAAACCTATATTTTTCAAGTAGATGCTAAAAATAAAAAGAAATCTTGTAATTTTTCAAGTAGATGCTAAAAGTCAATGATGACCCATTTTGCTTGGATCTAGCAGCATAGTTCATAGTTTTAAGATTTCCAAATTGTTCATAGCTCGGTTAAATTGTTTAGCCCCAAAATGTTTTCCAAAAAGCATGGAAAATCCATCTAAATTCTTGGTATGAAAAAGTAGTACTCAAGTAAAGTCCAAAGTTCCTTAACAAAACACATGCTTAAAAATTAGGTTTTAATGTGAAATCAGATTTAAAAGAGTTCAAACAAACTCAAAGTTTTCATGGATCAAACCATAATGTGTAGTGTTCTTGCAACAAGTGTGAACGCAATGTCAGCTCTCTATTTGATCCAGCGTGGTACCTTCGTGTGAGTGGTTTGTGGCCGAGGCCCATGTCCGAATTGCAATTAGTTTCTTCCGTTATGATGGCCCAAAAAGTACGTGTATTACGTAACGGGCCCCGTTACACAAGCTGCGGCCTGTTGGCTGGAATGCTAGGATCCAGTGTTGGGCCTTGACAAGAACTCAGATCGAACTATTCTCCGTTTGTCAATTGTCATTCGTCAATTGTAATCTAAAAAGAAGAGTTAAATGCACCAGATATCCATTAACTTATGATGATGTTTCAGTTAGGTCCATCAACTTTCAAAGTGGTTTTTTGGGTCCATAACCTTTGTACGCCGTATCACTTAGGTCCATACATTTCCACGTTGGCTTCTCGTACTGATATGGCATAATAACTAGGCTCAATGAAGCAGCCATTTGCCAATGCATTTTGTCAAAAAGACTACAGCCGC